ATCAGGGAGAACTACAAGATGAACCACTCAAATCTCGTCTCTTAATCTCTCAACCTCACATACATAATCAACTCTCATATTCTCTCCAAAAGCCCTCTCATTACAATCTTTTGAATGGACAAAGATTATGAAACCCTCTCCCAATGTTGTAATCTTTTACACGGATAAAAACTACGAAACCCTCGCATCTCACACACTATTCTTAAATCATGCTATGGCCTCTACTAACCCTATATTACAAGAATATTGGCTCTTTCCCAATAGAAGAATATATATGTGGAAACCAAAACCCTATCTCTAGCTTAACTTCCTAATTAGAATAGGATTCAAACTCCTAATCATGATGAGACCCAATCTCCTAATCATGATAGATTTCTAATCCTATCTAATTCTCATGAAGTTATACAAAGAATCAAAAGACAATTCCAACAACATTAGTGACATGTAACTAAAACTTTCAAAGAGGAGAAAAAGAAAGGACGATCTATTGACCCAAAGAAATATTTCTGGATCCAAAGAATAAAATGATCGACATGTATCTATTTCAATGATGATGCCATAAGAAACTTTATGAAAGATATTGCACATGAGAGATAAATATAAGACAACCCATGTTCTCTGACCATGTCATCAAGAGTATCCTAGGATTTATCGCAAACCATAACTTAACTAATGTTTATGAACATATCAAATGAAATTAATTAAACTCATGATAAAAAATCTCCTAGTTTAGTAGGAGCATGCAACATGGCATAGTTATATGTATTGCTTTGGCTTGAAAGAAGCTGACAAGTCTCCCCTTGTTTCAAGGACAAAAGGCACTGCGAGAGTAATCAAATGATGCTTTAGCTTTTGATGTCACCACATAAAAACAAGACCACCCCTTTGAATCCCATACTTAAAATGCAATATTACACATAACACCAAAACTAACAATCTAAGAATCTTAATCAAGTTTGACTAATCTTTATGAACTGGTCTAATTAAGGGAATATACAATTGTGGGAGTATTGTCCTCTAATGATTCAAGCGCTGGGAGGTTGCGTGCCTTTGTAGGGACAAGGGAGCCCATCCATGTGGCCATGTGTTTGCATGATCCTTGACTTCATGAGCAAAAGTAAATTCTATAGATGTAGCTCTATAAAAATCATAAGAGGCAAGGGAGTGGAACATCATATTTGTTTCCCTATCAATTCGAAATCAATGCAATCACTATTAATTTATAGTACAGTGTATCAGTGATATCAAAGGTCCTTTCTTTCGTATCAACTCTGATGTTATGGTGGGTATTAAGAGTTATTACTCTAATCTAACTTCGGAGTTTTTGCGCGAGCGAATGGACCCTTAAAATGATATAATTAGATCAACCAAATTTACTTGCCACCTATAAAGAATTTAAAATAGTTCTAAAAATCACATTGTTGTATGGGTCCACTTTCAGTCAATAAACATAGTGCTCAACTTTTTAGAGATATATGTTAGACTATAAAACCAAAACCTTCTACTCTTATCAGTACATTGAAATTTTGGCGGTGAAAGTACCTTTAAGAAATACAACGATCAATGTTGTATCAATGGTGCAATAAATATTAAGCTCTTTTCCCCCTTGCCAAACCCTAGTGTACAAGTTTAGTACATATACCCCAATTTATGATCCTCTAGTTGGTTATAATATCCACGATATTACCTCTTGTGATTGGTGATGGTGTAACTTAGCTTGACTTTTTGTTTAGGAGTACGTATTAATGAAAAGTGATTGATTTGGGATCCATTAAACATTAGTGGGTTCTAATGATTAAACTTGTAAAAGATTACTCACTTTGGCTCTTTAGCAATTTTCTTTCTTATAGAGGTGAATGAAATTCCGTATAGCAATGGCTAATTTAATCAGTTATCTTCTGATTTTAGATTTAGGAAAATTTAGAAGAGTCTCTTCTTGATGAACTTTCATGAATTAACTACATAATCATAAAAAGATAAATCAATTACGTGTTCAGACGGGTGGCAATATCCTTTGATAATAATTATCAAACACTAACCATAAAAAACTGTGACTCTCGTCTATACTGAAACTTGTATTGTTGAAAGTTTGAAATTAAAAGCAGACAATGATCTTCATTTCAAAGGATAATCTACAGGTAGAACCTGGTGAAAATCACTCTTGAGTCAAATATCGTATTTTAAATTTGATATATATGATCATGTTAAACTACAATCCCCTTTTTTTCTCCCAACATCAGAGTGCTGCATGACTTTGTGTTCTAATACACTAATAAGATCTCTTTACCTAAATGTTACACTATTGATTCGAATAAACACTACAACAAAAGTTGCATGTGTCCACACTTATTTTATGACATATATAAAAGAGTCATTTTATTTGTAAAAGATTAAATAACATTGACATAAATAAAAATTATGACAAATCATGACACATGTTTTTCTCATTAGATATATGGCTAAATATAATTTAAAAAACATCAATAGTGTAACATGGATTGCGTGAAGATCTATTTGGCTTAAATAATAAATCTTAGGTTTTAATTATAATAATAGTTAAATATTTATGATAGTGTATAAGCTAAACAACTCCATAGTTAAATATGCTTTGATGAAAGTAATCTTAGGATGGGTGAACATCCGGAATGTTAAAAGTGTTGAGAATGGTGATCTATTTATATATTTATGGTCTAGACAACTATGTATCACTACTCTTGACACATATATGTGTCATGAGTTTTGTAACACATGTATGTGTTATCACTCTTGACTTATATAGTGTCGTGAGTTTTGTGATACGTGTATATATAGCAAATTCTATGATGCATGATACATTCTCACATACATAGAAGGACGCTCTCAATACATGCTCTACCCACACATTTAATTGTGCGAGACAAAAATATGTCGCGTGAAGATAAAAAATGTATCATAATTTATAATCTTTGTTGTAGTAAAACAACACGCCTTACTATCAAGATCCTTTTACCTAAAGGTTATTTAACTGTTGGTTTGTGGATAAACAATGTACATGTTTAAGTAACACAATAGTACTTAGTATGACCTCAAGAGATCTGCAAAAGATAATTCAGTTCAGGTATGAGAAGATTATCTTGTCCAAAGCATGAAAAGATTGATTTTGGACCCTTTCTTTAATCCTTCTTTTATCTTTGAGTCTACAATTGAGTTTTAAAGCTGGCTTTGGATAATTTGCAAGGGATGGCAAACTTTGCTGACAAGCACTCCTTTACTTGTTTTCTCTGAATATAAACTGACAAAGGTAACTGGAAAGAGACAGCCTGATCGAGCTAGTCTTTTCCGCTTTCTTTTTTTTTCCCCCACATCAAACTTTTCTTTACCACTCTATGTCAGTATGCAATTAAATGCCAATAATTAAATGCTATATCTTGGAGTTTACCAATGGAGAGCAAGGAAATAAGGAAAGGGAAACAACGCAAAGTAAAGAAAGGAAAGGTTAGGAACTTAGGAACAATGTAATAATCATATTTAAGAGTTTAGTAATAAAAATGAAGGGGAATCATTTCTTAATCGTTGGATTTGTATCACGATGGTCCATTATTTCTTCCCTTTCCCTCCATTATTTTTAAAGAAACTCCCAAACATGGGAAACTATATAACTTC